GGGGGGGCGCGGATACGAACTACCCAGGGGCTTATCGACCGGGTGAAAATAGCAATATTAGGCTGTGCTAGCCCACAAGTCTACTACGCTACAATATGATGCGCCGTAATCCAAAATGCTTCCCTGGAGCTATAAAGGGGTATGATATGTCCGAAAGTAGACTAAAACTCATTGCATCCACTTTTACCACAAAGCATCTGGCAGAAAGCCGCAGCAAAGCCTATCTATAGGATGTAGCAGTCGTTTAAGAGGTATAAAAATGGAAGCCAGAAATAGCTGTTTTAAAAGCGGAGTTACGCTTTGTAAATTCTGCTTAGTTTCTTTTTTCAGTAAATTCGTTCAGATTAACAATACTTTTGCTTAGAAAAACGACAGTATATTGCCCCAGTCAACGAATCAAAGGCCTAGCCACATCTTTGATAATTTCTTGCACATGGCTTTTGGCTCGTGCCTTATACGATGCACACAGGGAATACTCTAGCGTGGTCTCAACAGTGAACATGTCGTCTTCCAAGTCAATCCGCATCAAGCGACAGCCAAGATCGAAAAGAGTAGGGATTGCCGACCACGACACTATATGGAGAAGGGCGAAAAAGATAAAGCAAAAGTCAATTAAACAGCTTAATACGCAAACTAAGCTACCTTTAGAGCACGGTAGTATTAGGCTAGGTTAGCCTTTTTGTAAAGAACATTGGTACGAGACTTGCGCTACTGCATTTATTAACTCTGTGGATCTAGATTAGGGCTTATAGACTACGACGGTCGCACACGATTAACAGTTGCCAAGACGCACTGAACGAGTGCCTAACACCAGTATCAACACTTTCCCTGTTCTCTCAGAGTAGGATCTTCGTTTATATTCACATTAAACGATCTTCCTCCTGTAACGTGCTGTGTAATAAAGGGGTTCTCTTGGGGAAATCTCAGAGGTTCAGCAAACTCAGCTTCTGGAGGAAATATGCAAGTTTTCAGTGTGTTTCGCGGATTAACATGGCAAATGGTTACTTGCCTGTGACAGGTTCGGCAAAATAAAGCCCTCCCCAACGGCTTTAGGTTCCTTGTGTAATGGCAGGGGATCCTGGTACTCAGGTTCTCTTCGTCCGTGTTCGTTGGACGCCCAGCTTTACCCAATTGTTAAGGATCGACCACGGCAGAGAGACAGGGCTGCAATAAGCGCGAGGTTGATATGACTATCTAGAAGTGAGGAATACTAGGAGGGGATTGGTGCGTTGCACCGGAGCCCTCGTGGAGGGTTTTCTACCCAGGCGGCCAGGCACGGGCCACGGTCCACAGGCGCAGGCCCCCAGCCACCGTGGCTCAGCGACTCTCAAGGCGCCACGCCACTACACCAATTAAACTTTTGTGTATCTTCTGTAAATTTTGTATTTAATTGTTATGGCACGGCGTCGCCAGTGGTAGTTGATAGAGTTGATAGCCGATTGGCTGGAGATTAGAAGGACTGATAGGATAAAGGTGCGGCCTTCGGCCACACCTTTCCTTTAACCTCTCCTCTCCTCCCCAGCTTAATATTCACATACGTTCTGCACAAGTCGAGGGCTCAAATGCCACGTCGTAACATTAATACGTACCTGTTACTGAACTTGAGTGGTCTTTCTGTGGGTCTCCCAACGGCACAGCAGACAGATATTCAGCACAACCTGGTAAGTCGGAGTACCCCCTGTCGGCCACCCCCCTTCCGGCCACCTGGCCGGGGCCCACTGCACCACCAAACCCGGTGCATTCAACTGCAAA